TATTTTATTTCTCTCCCTTGTCTTTGCTAGACCGTGTTTTTGGACAGTGAAAGGCTTGAATAGTATCTATCGACACGAAGATGCTGGTGCTAACTTGTTATTACTCATCTTTCAGCGATTAAGCTCTCTGGCATGGATTAATCTTGATTGATTGTTACGCTCTCTGTCGGAAGGAACGATTAAATAAGTTATTGCTTTAACTCGTATCGGTTTGTTTCGCTGATCCCCAGATTATTGATCTTCGCGGAATTTACAAGACTCTTTAGGCCGTCTGTGGAACAATACACTGACGGACTGTATGATTCTTGCAAAGTCAGAGGAGTCAGTGACTAGCAGCTGCGATAACTTACCTGTGAACTCAGATACTGTTACTTATTTACGCGTTATTCGTATCTCATTAGGTATCACTTTTGTCAGGTTTTACGACAACGTTTTTTCCTATGCCTCGAGATTTGCAACCTAATGAAAATTACGTGGGTTCAAAGGTGCGATTCGTTGTGCTGCCAAAGCGATACTACGTCTTTGTGCGGGAAAACAGAACCGATATTTCTGAGCTTTTACTCTGCATTGTCCGACTGTTTTGCGTTCTCGCACATTTGTCGGGCGTAAGGCTTTCGGGCTGTGAATCTCTCTAGAGTAAACTTGTTCTGGAATGGCAAATTATGAGCTGCGTGCGAGGCAATTTGCCTGGCACTAATCGGTCACAGCTTAGTTGCATTACCTTAGTGCAAAGAGCTGCACCTGCGTTGTACAGATATCAGGGTATCCCTGTTCCGTAGTACGTGCTCTATCAATCTTTCCTGGCAGAAGGCTGGTACATGACTTGCTGTGACGGGGCACGGGGGATTATTCACACCGCAACGAATTCTGCGTCATGGTCTCTGTCGAGTGCTGAGGCATGACGAAGGAGAAGGACAGAGGGCTAGAGCGAGAGATATGACGTATGCTAACGGTAGAAGTAGCGTCATACAAGTAAAAAACGGCTAGATGACGGAAGGATGACAATATATGCATCCGTGATGGGAAAATGTGTTTATTGCATAAGCAAAGGGCATGTGCGATAAATAGAGACAATAGGGGAGAGAGAATTTTATGAGTGGCAAATTCGTAGAGGCTCCGATCCGTATTTAGCCAGTCAGTATTCAAGGCATACTCATTAGATGATTTAATTATATTAAATCTTATTCATCT